CTATATGAAATTCGAACTTCTCATGAATCATCTAAAAATGTTGGTGATAACAACAATGATGATAATGGAAATAATATACAAATAAGAAAGATGAAGATGTAGAAGATAAAGATGAGGAAGTTGAAGATGGTACTGGCAACAATGATAGAGATTGGAGTGACAAAGACTCTTATGATCCAAAGGATGATGAAGTTAACTACGAAGACAATGGTTATCAAGGTGTTAAAACAACATAGGTAAATTCAGGAGATGTAGCGGGTTGTTCAAGAATAATCAATAATGTAAAAAATAAAAAACATTTGAGGAAGAATTTGAAAGTTTACATGACTCAGATGACAAGGTGATTTATAATCAGGACATCCTGAACACACCACTTCAATGTAGATTGAGTTTTAGTAGTCTTGTGGAATGCAGAGATGCAATAACATAGTGTAACATCTGAAGAGGTAGGAGATGGCATTTCAAAAAGAATGACAAGCTTAAGATTAAAGTCATATGCAAAAGGACTATATCCAAAAAAAAACCGAGGTTTGCGATTGAAAGATATTTGTAAGTAATGCTTTTGGATCCCCAACAGTGACAACATAAGTGCCTAAGCATAAGTGCAAGTTTAAGTTTAGTGTTAAGTCTATTTTAGCTAAAAAAAAGCTGTGCGGACCTGGGTGAAAGAGAATCCTAACATAAGTACATTAGGAAGTTGTCAAAAAAGAGGTTCATATTTTCACTCTCAAAGACTCAAGCATATAGGGAAAGAAGGGTAGCATTCAAGATGGCATATGGTTCCATAGATGATCAGTACCATAAACTGAGAGATTACTTAGGAGAGGTTGAAAGGAGTAACCTTTCTACAACCATAGATATGCAAATGGTTCTATAATTTTTGGATCCCATCACAAGGCAACCTAGATTTTAAAGATTATACATGTGTTTTGCTGCTCTCAGCGAAGGGGTTTTGGCATCAAGTACGCCAGTGATATGGCAAGATGGTACATTTCTAAAGGGTTTAATAGGAGGTGTGATGCTCAAGAGTGTGGGTTGTGACCTTAACAATGGGTTGTATGCCATAGCTTGGAATGTCTGCGAGGATGAGAATAACAAGTCCTGGGAATGGTTTCTAAAACTTTTGAGGAAAAATCTAAAAATTTAGAGATATAATGAGTGGACCTCAATGAGTGACAAACATAAAGGTCTCCTTGAAGCTTGTAAGGAAATATTATCTGGTGTTGAGCATACATTTTGTGTCAAATACATGTATAGCAATTTTGTTGACATTAGATTTCGAAGAGATACTTTTAGGCAACTTACATGGCAAGCTGCAAAATCAACAACTCCCATGCAGTACAAGAGAAAAATAAACGACCTAAGTGTTCTTAGTGCTAAAGTAGCAGCTTGGTTTGTTGACAAACATCCATCTGAATGGAGTAGAGCTTATTTCAAGACATTGCCCAAGTGTGATATCCAATTAAATAACCACTATGAGTCATGAAATTTCATAATCAGAAAAGCAAGAGTGAATCCATTATTAAATATGTTGAAGGATCTCCGACACATAATAATGGAAAGGAATGTAGAGAACAGGGAAAGGGCAAACAGATTTTGTGAAGGTAGAGGAGTGTGTCCGAGGATATTCAAGAGTGTGCAAAACAGTTACAAGACTGCTTCATATTGCAATGCTTATGGAGCAAATGAAGACTATTTTGAGGTTGAACATTCAAATGAAATATTAGTTGTTGACTTAAAGGACGATTTGGACCAGAGGAGATGATGATCTAATGGACTTTACAAATGATTTTATAGTGTGGAGGCTTCTCAGAGATGCTATTAACCGTGCACTATGCGTATGAGAGATAAAAGCTAATGGGATAAGGTACCTGAATTGATACCTCTTCCACCAGTATATGGTAAGGATTCTGGAAGGCCACCAAAAAATAAAAAGAAAAAAGGTTACACGGAGAGAATTATAGAGAAAATGGCACACAGAGACTGAAAAGGTCCGGCTAGTAAATTATTTATTCTTCTTTATTGAGTTACTAGAAAAATAGTTCTGAAAAGTCCGGAAATTATCAGACATTAGACATAATTTTGTATAGGTCCAATTAGGTCTCTTTTGAAAGTATCAGTATATTTACTGGTATTTAAATCTCCATCTCCGTCTTTTTGACAATCTCTTATACATGGTAAGTCTTAAGCACTGCCCTGAAAAATATTTCTGGTTATCTATAAATTTCTCAGGTTCTTATTAAAAAAAATAAGAAGTTGTGGAATGCATGACCACAATAAAAGAAGTTGTATTACTATGAAAGAGTCCCAAGAAACTCAAAGTCAAGAAAAAGAAGTATCTGAAGTTGTTTGTCCATACGTGCATCCTAATACAAGTATTGATATAGGCTTGGATGAAGTCGAAATTGAAGCCTGGTAGTTGATTTTGGGAGCAACTTAGATGACATAAATGTTTCTGTGGTCCAACCATCTATCGACACTTTCTCATTCATTAATCCACAAAAAAGTTTCACGTAAGCAATATTTCCTTCTCAATTTTATAAGATTCTTTATGTAATTCTATAGCTATATTTTCGTAAAATTAGATTTTACTTGTGGAGATAAAGAAATAAATTCCAACAATCGAAGAAATTCAAGAAAACAAATGATCCACTTACACTGGATGATTATGAGCAAGAAGTTCTATTGAATGCAGCTGTGATGAAAGTACGTTATATGTCAACTAATTGGCCTCATTTTAGTAATGAAACTTACCTCTTATTTTTGTCCTCTTTATTTCATTCTTATTTGTATGTCTAAAAAGTTGAAATGATTGAAGATAAAGATCAAACATCTTTTTAATTAGTGTATTGAATGATAAGATATTCATGGGTGATTCTGGAATTCAATAATAAATTATGAAAAAAAAAAGATAGTAGAGAGTAATTAACAAGAAGTTTTAAACTAGATTTTATTGCTTCAAAATTATATTGTAGTTTCAGTCGTGCTTTTTTTTAATTGAAAAAAATAGTCTTGAAATTGGATCTAAGGATCTGGTTAGATCATGTCATAAAAATTACAAAAAGATTTGACTGGATAGCATTTCCCGCACATGATTTTGGATACCATATGCACAATGTTCATTTGCACTAGGCCAAATGAGAATTCGTAATTTAATTATGTAATCGGGTACCTAAAATGTCAAAAGGCATTCTAAACTTAAGAACAAATACCAACACCTTCAAACACCCTCACAAGGTCGCTCCAGATCTGGTAGGGGGTGCAGCTTTGGAATGATGCCGGAAATGCGAACCACCTCTTCACTGGTGTCTGGGGAATGGTCTTCAACCAGTGGGCATGGTCATAACCATCTTTTTGGTCGGCCCTAACAAGAACCCAGAACGGAGATGCGACGCTGAATAGTTCGATAACAGCAGTGGCCGCCGTAATTGCTGACCCAATTTGACGGAGTAAAACTCCATAGCGTTGAACTGGAAGGTGAACTGGAACTCAGCTTCACCTGCCAGACAGGGGCGGCGGGGGCAGCGGCGGGACAAGGCGTTGCGGAGTCTCATCGCTTAGGGTTGTAGTTTCACCCATGCTTATCCAAATAAGTGGATTGCATTTTGGTTATATGTTGGATTATCTTCTTAATCAATGTCCCAAGCCTAATAAGTTCAGATTTTGATTAGCACAGTTTTTGAGTAGGATTTTGATATAAATACGTCATGTTTGTGTTAAAGATAAAGAACAAAAGAGATATTCTTGTTGACAAAAAGTCTTAGAGTAGTCTTAATCCAGTCGGTTTCTAGTAGTGATACTTATTTTATTATTTAAATAAAAATTAACTAATTTACCATGTTTAGCAGATATGTATAGTAAGCTTATGAAATGGCACCTGATGTATTTGATTCATTAAGGAAATACAGAAATGTAATCCTTTATTCATCTCTCATCAATTTTTATTTTTTTAAAATCCAATACCAACTTTCTTTTATTTGTACTAAAATCAGAAGTACACAATGTAACCTCAGGTTTTACCAAATGAATGCCAAGCTGAGATACTTTATGTTCTGAAACTTAGGTTCCTAGAAAACGCACGACATAGAGGAAGTGCATAAGTTAGCATATCACATCACTCAAATGCAACTCTGCTGTTACAAAATTAATGAAGAGCTTCTTCTTGTAAAAAACAATAAAAATAAATAAAAGCTAAAAAAAAATAAAAATATTTCTTCCTTGCGCAATCTTTTTCATACCATATAAGGCCCAGAAACGAATTTGTCAGTCTCCAAACATCAATATGTTGAAAATATTATATACATATGTCACATCCTATTTTTCATAGTATAACAAGCATATCATAATAAAGAAAAATGGGTAGTCATTTTTTTTGACCCCATGAATGTTTATTAACTCTCGCGAAAATTATGGACTCCCTCCCAATACTATATATTGTATATGCTAACGTAATACAACGAGTGCACTGAATATTTACTCTGAAAATTTAATCAATCAATCAATAAAAGAACTTCATTATGTACGAAAAAATATTACTTTTCACGTGGGGAAGGTGAAAAGTAATCACGGGAAGGACGAAAAAATGATTATGTACGTTATATTAAAATAGTATAACTAGACTGACTCTGGAATCAAGGAGTAAATGCTTGATCAAACCACAACTTCTCCACGTACAGGTGATCCAAACAACGGCTAAGTGTATTCCATACGGTTAACGATTTTTAACATTAAATTCTACGACATTTTCTAAATTATTACTATTCCATATGATATTTTTCTATTTTTCTCTTTATTTAGTACTCCCTCCGTCTCATAATTATTGTCCAGTTTGAATTTTTATTTCTAGTTCAAACTGTACTAAAAGTGAAATCTCAAACTGGACAATAATTTTAAGACAGAGGGAGTATTTTTTAAAAAACGTTTACTAATATCATAACCTTCCTTGGATGAATTAGTAGAGATTGTGTCAGAATCTATGTAAATGTAGGAAACAGTGAAGCATTACAGTGTATGATATCCTTTGCCATCTAAATAAGTCAAGAAGGGATAACAAGATTCCAAATGCATGCAGATGGCTATCATTAATAATATCATCAACAACTAAATCAAACTTTTTTCTTTCCTTCATTAAATACTGAATCGTTTCCAGACATGGAAATAACCCAAAGACTAAAAACCTGCACACATTTTTTTTCCCTTTTTAATTAAATGTTTATAACTTTAGCAATATACTCCAAACTACTAAAATGTTAAAACTACTTTTCTACAATCACACACACTCTCTCTCTCATTTGGTTGTTTCTGAAGGAACCCCTTCCTCAACCTTCTGCAATTTTGCATCAGCTTCAATGGTTTTCAGTTCACCTTCGAATTCCTTGGCGGTGTCATAAGACGCGTGAAGCCCGAAGAAGAAATAGTAGAGCAACAAGAATCCAGTCCATGCCCCAAACCTAATGAACGATTTACGATCAATCGATCCGAGCAGGAAAATGTTGATGAATATAGACGCTGATGGCAACCAAGGCACCAACGGAACTCCCCAGAGCTTCGGTTTATGCGCTTGCGGTACCAAAAACGCCAATCCACAAGTCGCCACGAACCAAATCGGAACAGTGATACAGTAACCGATCCAACCATTGGCACTTAGGCCCCAATATGTAGCAGTCGCAATAGCTGAACCAAGGATGGCCACAAGGAATCCAATCAGCTTGTTGCGATTTCCGTTGGTTGTGACCCCGCTGACATAGTACCGTCGCACCAGAAGCGCGACAGCCACGAGCATAAAGATGAACAGCGTGGATATGGAGAGGAGATTGGAGAGCACGGAGAGCTTGGTGAAGAAGGCGATCACGGCCGTACAGGTCATCATCACAATGGTGGCGTTCACGGGCGTTCCGGTCTTGGCGTCGACAATGGCAAACCAAGGCGGCATCATGTGGGTGCGAGCAATGTGCGTCAGGTAACGCGCCTGGCCAACAGCGCCGACGAGCAAGACCGAAGTCATCCCTTTCAAAGCTCCCGCCGCAACGAGATACTGAGCCCAAGACCAGCCTACCTCTTTAAATGCGACCGAAAAAGGAGCATCTGCATCAATGCGCGCGTACGGCACCATAAGGCACAGCGTGATCGCCAGCAAGCAGTACAAAGTAGTCGTCACAACCATCGATCCGACAAGACCAATGGGGATATCTCGCCCCGGATTCTTGGTCTCCTCAGCCAATGTGGAGACAGCATCAAAGCCGACATACGCGAAGAACAGCACCGCTGACGCCTTGAAGATGCCGCGAGCGCCATAGGGTGTGAAGGGGGTGTAGTTCTTGGTGTCGGCTTTGCAAAGACCGGCGATGATGATGAAGAAGATGACGACAATGTGGACAACGGAGGCAATGTAGTTCAGGCGGGATGACCCCTTGGTGCTGAACACCGCAACCAGACAGATGACGATGCATATACCCACCGCGATGGGGTCAAGGTCGCTGTAGTCTTTTGACAGGCTGCTGACGTGATGGCGGAGTTGCTCGGGATGCTTTCCGATGAGAGTTGCGAGGTATGATGTCCATGCCCTGGCCACCGCAGCACCGCCAATGACGTACTCGAGTATAATGTTTCCGGCGGCGACAAAAGCCACAAAGTCTCCGAGCTCCACCCTCAGGTAGGCAAACGAACCGCCTAAACAATAACAATGATCACAAAACTCAAAAATCAGAAATCCCCAATTCAGTCATTTCTGTATTTAGAAATAAAAAATAAAAAATCAAATTTCGAATTCAAGTCAATGTAATGCAAAACACTTGCAATCGAATTTTGTTACCATCACACCTTAAAAATGGAACGAACTATTTTAGTTTAACATACAAGATTATGATAAATGCTTGACATCACACCGTATTGTCTAACATAACAAATATTTGTCTTACCGACCTAATATCAACCTTGTCATTATTAATGGTATTGACCTTTTTACTAGTCTAATAACAAAACCGATATAGTTCTTGGGTATCGACCTTTTGCTTTCCTAGAAAAATGATGGTGTAAGCTGGAAAAGTCAAATCCCCCAGCCACAAAAAAAATATCCTCCATTACCAGAGTTGGTCCAATAAAACTGCTGGTATTGAAAAATGAAAAAGCAAAAAAAAAGCAAGAAGGCCAGGCAGCCAATACAATTCTACAAATATAATCAAATTCAATGCTAACTTAAGCAAAGTTATGACTTGAGAGTATACGCAAACGCAACGGAGTTGACCTCAGAGTCAAACATCAAATTGCAACTTGCACGAATGATGTTTCTAGCTCAACCAACTGGGGACATACCTAGAATTTCTCTTTTTCCCATTCTCTATAAATTTAAATTTGTACTCCCTCCATTCTAAAATAAGTGTCGTCCTACACTTTGCATATAGTTTAAGAAACTCTTAAATAGGGTAATAAAATTACTTGAATATCCTCAACCAACCCCATTATAAAATTGTCCACCAAAGTGCATTGAAATGTGAGAACGACACTTATTTTAGAATTTCTCCATTTTGCTAAAACGTTACTTATTTTAGAATGTAGGGAGTACCTTTTATAAGATAAGATCGAGAATTTTTATTAAATAATCGGAACCAAAAGTCTAAACGTGCATTTTTAATGTCGGCCGCTGCTCCAGTCCTCTCTAAGCATTGATTATTGACTAGGGAAAGATATATGTGTAACAACCACCACCAAATAATAAATTCCTTAAAACCTCCTAACTCTAGTCAATGTGGACTTATATTGCCACTTGAGTTTAAAGGATAAACAGTTTTACTACTAAGATTTAAAATGAGTCATTGTTCTTTTGTTATTTGATAAAGAGAGGATTATTCACTCTAATCTCCCTTCATGAAGTTCACCTCAAGATCATATTTGAACTTTTCTTGGATTTATTCAGTGCAATTACCTAGCATGTTCATTCTAAAAATGTAACAATTCCGACAACAAAGTAATTAACCTTAGTCACATTGTTTTCATCTACAATAATATGCAGTGTAAGAGATTTGTAACAAAAAATATATATATATATATATATATCTATTAAGACTAAATTATTAAGTAACAACTGCAAAAAAAAAAAAAAAGTCTAAATCAGAAAGTTGGAGGAGGTCTTTGCGTGATCAAACAAAACAAACATGTACAAAAATGCGTGGGAAATTCCACCAAAATGATTCGGAATTAATTCATGATTGAAATCTCTCGTGCAAAGATAAAAATTATTATAACAATAATCCTACGAAGGCGGCGAAAATTTTCAAGCAAAAACAAGAAGAATAAAAAAATAGGAAAAAAAAAAGCCCAAAAAATGAAAGAAACGTACCAGCAACGGGAATCTCCACGGCGAACTCGGTGTAACAGAAAACGGAAAGCATGGCGGAAATACCGGAAACGACGTAAGAGAGAACCACGGCCGGACCGGCATCTTGCTGAGCCTCGAGGCCGGTGAGGACGAAGATTCCGGCGCCGATGACTGCTCCCATGCCGAACCACATGAGGTCCCACCAGGAGAGCGTCCGCTTCATCTCGTTGGAGCTCCGGTTCTTGACCGCAATCTCCGCCGCGTCCTTAGACCGGGTCAGTACCCGGTCCACGAGCCGGGTCGGGGTTTGTTTCAGCGCATTCACATAATTCCCGAACGATTTGAACGATTCCTCCGGCAGGAAATCGTTCTTCTGAAACGAACAACCTCTTCTCCTTATTCCCGACGACGACTCTTCAACTGCCGTCCCCATTGGTTTAAAAATCCCTTTCTGCCTCCCTAAACAAAATAATTTTCAGATCAGATAATTGGGTTTTTTTGGAATATTAATCTCATTCAGTTTTTGTTTTTTTTTTTTGGGTAAATCTGAAACAGGGGAAAAAACAGGGGGAAAACAGAGAGGTGAGTGAACTGTGACTGAATCTATGATGATGGTGATGATGAAAGCAATAAATAGTATTTAACGTAAAAAAACCAACAAGGTACTGATGATTGGAATGATTAGATTAAAAAAATTGTATAGGTTCTTAGTTCATTGACCTTACGCTACGATGATTTCGACAAAGACAGCTTCTTTTTGTGTGTGTGTGTGTGTTATGATCAATGAGAATGTGAAAATACAATAGTCAATCCAAACACGCCGTCAGCATGTATATAATTTGATTTGGTTTTTTTCTTCTTTTCTTATTGCATTCCTAACGATGTGGACGGAAATTCGGCTAAATCCGGTACCAGTCAAACGAAAAGGACGATCAAAATTTCGTTTTCCCCGGAACCCTCCCCCAAAAAACAAAGAAAAAAACTATGTATCATAAACCCAACAAAATAGAAAAAAATGAAAGAGAATTAAAAAAAAAAAAAAAAAACCCACCTGAGGAAAGAGAGAGCGAGAGTGAATAAATTATGGAGGTTGACGACGACACCAGAAGGTTGTCGTCCGGTCGGAGGAGAAATCCGATGACCGGAGAAGTATGTTTTAGGGGTTGGAGAATAAAAGAGTACTATTTGTTTTTGAATTGGGAAAATAGAGGAAGGGGTGGAAGAACTGAATGTGGGGGGCTGCGGTAAGGAAGGAAGAATCTGAATATCCTGTGATATTTATAGCCGAATCTCCCCAGTCCCCAGATGATTTTTTTGAATCCTTTTCTCCAGTGAGTAATTTGTGAATGTATTATATTAGGATTTGTTGACCAAATACGATGACAATAGTAAGTCAACGGGGTCACACACTGTGTGTGTGTGTGTGTGCGCGCGTGTGTTTTCACCGAAATTGAATGAGGCGGAATCACACAGCTAATTGTTAGTGTCATTTTGGCAAATCAAGCTGGACAAATCAAAAGAATATTACCAGATGGTCAATTTAATTTTGGTGGGCTAATTTGGCTCTTTGCGCTCCATTTACAGCTGTTTTTGAAGGTCAATGCTCCTCTTGTTGTGTTTCCTTATTTTGAGTAAATTGTAAACAACCCGTGACATTATTACATGTATAGTAATATTTTGTTCTGTAAATGAGTTTTTTCTTTTTTGAAAACTCCGTGTATTTTTTTTTGGAAAAATTTAAATGAGGAGTAGTGGAGATGGTTAAATTAATAAAATGGGTATGACTTTGAAATAATTTTTATTAAGGGCAGTGATTTATTTGTCAAAAATAATAAAATGAACACACTTATGTGCTGACATTATTACCCTTATTATTTATTATACTAAAAAGAAGAAACAATCCGTCGTCTCCCCTCAGGAAGTGGTGAACAAAATGGTTCTAAGAACTCAAGACCAAAGGAAGATTTTGCTCCTTTAATACAATTTTTTTTTTATATATTTGTTACTGATTCAGTAAAGAAAGAAAAAGAAATTGCATCTCAAATCTTGAATGCATCTCAAATCAGATTTCAAATTCACGATTCCATTTCGACTGGAGCACAACTTTATAGTTGTTTCGGAATCAGATTCAACAAGAACTTTGGTGAATCCTTGTTGTTTTGCACTTCTCAATCTCGTCTTTGGATCACCGCAACCTCAGCCGTTTCTACTCTCTACCAAATCCCTTCCCAAGAATTTGTAAAATGCACCAATAAACTTGCGTATCGACGGTATCGTTTCTGATGACTCCTACAACTTCTCGATTTTGTTTGATTCCCAACAGCTCGCACTTGATCTTTTTCCATATTATAGTTTCCACCTTCTCCTCATCAAACACTCCAATATTGTTTTTCCATGTCCAAATCAACCTTGTTGCAATGCTAAATTATGTGCTCTATTGATTAATGATGCACGAACGATCATTACTTTTATGTTTTGGTAAATGGTCATTAATTTTATGAAGCAGTGATGTCAATATTAAATTTTTGTAAAGGTTATTGGATTGGAATTCTACATCCTAGAACTCGTGCTTGAATGTAAATAAAACTTCTGAAGTTTTTTAGAATATTGGCTTTGTACTTCTATTGATACGTAATCTCTAAAAAAGGGGAAGGGTTTATTTTTTAGGTAATTATAATAAGGATAATAATGTCAATGCACAAGTAATTTGATTTTATAAGTTATGACAAATAAATCATCGCCTTTAAGAAAAATTACTTGAAAGTCATACTCCATTTATTAATTTAAATCTTTCTACGGTCCCTTATCCAAATTTTTCCTAATTTGTTTTTTGAACAACAAAACTCCGTATAATTTTGTTTTGATATATGTATGATCATTCTTATTACTCCTTCTCTCTTAAAATTGTTGTCCAGTATAGATTTTCACCTTTACTTTAATTTGTACTAAAAATAAAAATCCAAACTGGATAATAATTTCGGATGAATAGAGTACAATATTTTTTGGTATTAAATTTTTGATAGTACGTAAAATTATAGCTATCATATCTGCACGCTAATTATGAAAAGGTACGTGTATATTAATTATGAAAAAGTACTTAAACTATTACAACAGATACTATGGAATGCTAACTTATGTAATTTTATGAAATGCTAACTTAGATTACATACGTATTCATCATTTCATCTTTCTTTTCTTTCCTTTTTTTTTCTTCTATTTTGCAATTTGCACATTCGCTGCCGCCAACTTTTTAGAAAGTTAAAGAATAATGCTTTCATATTATCCTCCAACAAACCCACTTTGCCTCGATTCACATTTCATCGAAACCAAATTACGCAAAAATGGCAGCCAACATTGACTCCCTAGCTTATTCTGCGTTCTAAGAAACCAACACAAAGTAACAATATCTATAAAAGATGTGTCTTACCATTAGTTTTGCTTAACAAAAAAAATGAGGTTCAAATTATCCATAAACATCATATGAAGAGTAAAAAATTATTGCCCCGTTAACTCATTATAAAAGCTCTAGCAACAAGTGTTGCCGTGTTGAAATATCTGATATTAATCATAGAAGATTTTTTTTTTTTTTTAAATTAGTCTCATTAAGGATTCAAATCGTAACGGACCCCAAGAAAAATAGAATAGTATGTGAAACGGAAGTTAGAGATGAAAATTGAGATCACAAAGAAGATAATAGATGAAAAGTATGAGAAAATAATATCCCAAAAAAATTGATCCTCCGTTTCGAAATTATTATCGAATTTATATTTATGTTTTTTTAATAATAAATTATATTATAAATAAAAATATAATTGGATAACCATTTTGGTATAAGATTAGAAAAAAAATGAATTTCACAATATAAAAAACATAACTTATCGTTACTCACACTTTGGGGGGAAGAAAAAGAAAGAAAAAAATTTATCATTAATTAGCCGGATTCTGTGAGAGTTGTCTCAAACATTAATGAATACGTCAACCCATCAATTATCGGTTTGTTTGTACATACGTTAATTGGTTACCTTAATTAATCAAATGCTTTCACATGATAGTGATACAATTATATTGGATAAACAATTAACAATAAGATACATAGAAGCAATTGTGTGTCAGCAAAACCCGTTACTGATTAGGTGCTGAATTATTCCACATTGAGGAATTATTTTATCATTGTAAGTAAACAGAAGTAGCGTGATCTGATTTCTGGACCGGCAAATTATCCAGTATTTCCGGGGCACCGTGCCCCCCTCCTATTTTTTGTATTTTTAGTCTTTATTGTATTTTTTTCTCAATCTTTTTATATTTTACAAGTTTAGTCCCTGTGACTTTTTTTTCTCTATCCTTTAAAAAATATCTCCAATCTTTCAATGACCATATCTCATAATCCGTGAAGAATTTGTGAACGAATTATATATGAAATTTATAGTACTCGTCGAGATCTATCCAACAACATCCATAGTGAATATTTTTTCGGACTTAAAAATGACTTAATTCTGATGGACAGAATAAGAGTGGATATCCAGTTTTACAAGATGGATAACCAACTTGTTCTAAATTGGTTATCCATTGTGTTCATGCTGATTATCCAATCCGTTTGAACTGGTTATCCATTTTGTTTCTACTGCTTATCCATTTGGTTATCCAACTTCTTAATTCAAAATAAGTTGGTTATCCATCTTCTTAAACTGGATATCCAATGTGTTCATATTGATTATCCAATGCGTTAATACTGGTTATCCAATGGATTTACATGCTTATCCAAATTATTTTTACTGGTTATCCACTGTGTTCATGCTTATTATCCAACTTGTTTGTACTGAATATCCATCCATTTGGTTTGTATGCATATCTAATTCTAATCTTTCAACGAGCATATCTCCCAATCCGTGAAAAATTTGTGAACGAATTATATATGAAATTTATAGTACTCGTCGAGATCTATCCAACGAAATCCACAGTGAACATTTTTTCGGGCCTAAAAATGACTTAATTCTGATGGACAGAATAGAGGTGGTTATCCATCTTTTTTTTTTTGAAGAGTGAATGTCAAACATATGATTAGATAACAAGTACGAACAGAATGGATAACTAGTTCAAACCGGTTGGATAATCAGTAGGAACACAACGGATAACCATTTTTCAAAGAAAAACGAAAAACACGTTTCTTCATTTTTTGCTAGTAAAGTTTAAATGCATTTAAAGTTCAAAAAAATATTCAACATTGATCTTATCGGATAGATCTCGTCGAGCACTATAAATTTCATATATAATTCGTGTTATAATTCTTTACGAATCAAAAGATACAAGGAACACAACGATATGCATGTAAATTAAGTTGGTTATCCATCTTCTTAAACTGGTTATCCACTGTGTTCATGTTGGTTATCCAACTTATTTGTACTGGATATCCATCCATTTGGTTTGTATGCATATCCAACTCTAATCTTTCAACGAGCATATCTCCCAATCCGTGAAGAATTTGTGAACAAATTATAAGTGAAATTTATAGTACTCGTCGAGATCTACCGAACAAAATCCACAGTGAACATTTTTTCGGGCTTAAAAATGACTTAATTCTGACGGGCAGAATAGAATAGAGGTGGATATCCATCTTTTTTTTTTGAAGAGTGAATGTCAAACATATGATTGGATAACAAGTACGAACATAATGGATAATCAGTCCAAACCGATTGGATAACCATTTTTCAAAGAAAAACGAAAAACACATTTCTTCATTTTCTGCCCGTAAAATTTAAATGTATTTAAAGTTCAAAAAAAATATTCAACATGGATCTTATCGGATAGATCTCGTCGAGTACTATAAATTTCATATATAATTCGTGTTATAATTCTTTATGGATCAAAAGATAAAAGGAAAAGAATAATATGAATGTAAAATAAGTTGGTTATCCATCTTTTTAAACTGATTATCCACTGTGTTCATGTTGGTTATCCAACTTATTTGTACTGGATATCCATCCATTTGGTTTGTATGCATATCCAACTCTAATCTTTCAACGAGCATATCTCCCAATCCGTGAAGAATTTGTGAACGAATTATATATGAAATTGATAGTACTCGTCGAGATCTATCCAACGAAATCCACAGTGAACATTTTTTCGGGCTTAAAAATGGCTTAATTCTGATGGACAAATTATCCAACTAATTAGTATTATTTATCCAACCTGGTTTTTGTTTTTATTATTTTTTTAAAAAATAATAAACTAAGTTGGTTATCCAACTCGTTTGTATTGGTTATCCAATCATTGGTTTGTATTGGATTATCCAATGCGCTAATGTTGGTTATCTAATGGATTTACATGGTTATCCAAATTGTTTGAACTAGTTATCCACTTTGTTCATACTGGTTATCTAACTCGTGCATACTGGTTATCCAACTTATTCTGCCCATCAAAATTTAGTCATTTTTAAA